GGATCATGACCTGAGCCCAAGGCAGACTCCCAACGAATGAGACACCCGGGCGCCCCTGTTGTGTGTCTATTTAAAGGAAACTGCCAAACTTTTTGTCAAAGTGATGATACCATTTTACATTCTACCAATATTGTGAGTGAGTTTTAGGTGCTTTACATCCTCCCTATTCTAGGGGGTGTGTAGTGATATCCCATTTGTGTTTTTTTCTCCCTGGTTTTAAACTGCATTTCCCTGGTGACAAATGATCTTGAATGTCATTTCTTGTGATTATTGGCCATTCATATATCTTCTTTGGTAAAGTCTTTTGATCATTTTTTAATTGGACTGTTTTATTTCTAGTGAGTTGTAGGCCTTCATTAAATGTTCTGAATACAGATCTTTATGAGATACATTTGTTGTTGGGAGAGGCAGTCTGCTATGGGCCCTGAGTATCCCTGTATAATTTATTCTGGTTACCCCAAGAATGCAAGGCCTGACTTCTCCTTACCCAAACCATTTCTCAAGTCTTGTGTTTGCAGTGAGCTGCCTTGAGAGGTGGTTAGGTCTCCCTGTAGACAGTGAGCAGGCTTGTTATTATTCATTATAAAATTGGTGAGTCCCCCAAGCTTAGTGTCCTATAATGCAATCCACTGCATGCGCAGGCATCCGTCAGGGAGCCGGTGGGGGACTTGGTGGGTTGGGGAATGAGTAGAGGCATAATAGAGTCCTTTGTCCCTAACTAAGGACTCGTATGTTTTCTACCAGCACTTACAAACCAGTAACAGACTCACGTAGCTTGTTATGTAGGGTAAAGTCTCAGACTGCACACGTCTTAGCTTGTATTGCAGATATTTTTCTCCTAGTCTGTGGCTTGCTTTTCATGGTCTTAATAAAACTATCTTAAGAGTTGTTTGCAAAATGGAAGGTTTAAATTTTGATGAAGTCTAATTTATCAATTTTGTAGTTAGTGCCTTTTGTCCTAAGAAATCTTTGCCTTCCTGAAGGTAGTGAAGATTTTCATCTGTGTTTTCTTGTAGACATTAAATTTTAGCTTGTACATTTAGGTCTAAGGTCTAGGTTCACGTTCTCTCATTTGGATGTCCAGTTCTTCCAACACTGTTTGTTGAGGAGGTTCTTGCCCCATTGAAATCCATTAACACCGTTGTTGAAAATCATTGACCACATAGGTGCAAGTGTATTTCTCGACTGTTCTACTGATACTATTCTAACTTGATTACAGTAGCTTTATACTAAATCTTGAAATCAGATGAACCCCCCCAACTTTATTCTTTTAAATTATTCTATTTTAGGGTTCCAGCATTTCCATATAGATTTTAGAAGCTGCTTCTCAATTTCTGCAAAACTTGCTGGGATTTTGATGGTGATTATATTGAATATATAGTTCGTTCTTCAGAAAATGTATTTCTTAACAATGTCTTAATAATATCGAGTTTTCTGATCCATGAGCCTGGCATAGCATCATTTATTTAGGTCACGACCTTCAATACCTCCTCACAATGTTTTGTACTTCTCAGAATAGAAGTATTTCTCTTCTTTTGTTAAAAATTTTCCTGATTATTTTGTGAGGGCTCTTCTGATGCTATTAAAAATAAGTAAATTTTTATTTCCCCACTGTGAGTAGTATTTAGAAATAAAAAAAAGATTAGAGGTTGAGCTTTTATTCTGTGATCTTGCTCAATTCATGTAGACCATTTCATTTGCAAATAGACAGTTTTACTACTACTTTCCTAATCTGTCTATTGTTGCCTTACCACACTAGCTAGTATCTCCAGTACAATACTGAATAGGAATGGTAAGAGCCAACACGCTTCTTGTGTTCTCACTTTTAGGGGGACCAACGTGTTGGTGTGATGAACAGGGGAATTAAGGTAGCTGGAAGACTTTTTTTTATTTGAGAGAGAGCATGAGAGGGGGGAGGGTCAGAGGGAGAAGCAGACTCCCCGCCGAGCAGGGAGCCCGATGCGGGACTTGATCCCGGGACTCCAGGATCATGACCTGAGCCGAAGGCAGTCGCCCAACCAACTGAGCCACCCAGGCGCCCGCTGGAAGACTTTTTATGAATGGGAGTATATGATGTTCTATTTTGTGTCATGAAACAAACTAAAGAACTACTAAGTTCAGTTATCCAAAAATCTCTGGATCTCCTAGAACTTCCATTTCGTGGAACTGACCTCTTTTGTCTCAATTGAGTTTACCTTTCCCTATAGTCAGATGGTGGAAGAGTACAAATTCCAATGTTTTAAGATAACTAAGTCGTCATCTTTCATAATAGAAGTCAAAGGTAATACTGAAAACTTACTGGTTTAGAGAGATCAGAGTAATCATGCTATTTAGACATATTAAGTAGCTATCAGAAGAAACAGTTAAGGGAATGAAAATGATTGCCTCTGAAAGATAGGGTTAAGTGGTGGGGGAGGTAACTGCTTTTTTGTTTTTGTTTTTGTTTTAATTTTATTTTTATTCAAATGCATTTACTGCTTTTTATTCTTATATTTTGAAAGTATTGACTATATGGTCTTACCCATTTATTGTTGAAGGGAACCAGTTGATCTGTTCAGTTTTGGTTTATTTTGAACCCTTCTCCCCCATCATGATTATTTCAGTGGTAAATTCAGAGTACTGAATCAAGTACTATAAATATCAAGTACTACAAAAAGATCATCTGGTTTAACTTCTATTGGTATATATTTGGATAAAATATTGGCCTGACAATATGGCCTGACAGGAAACTTGAAAAATTAAGATACCAAGAAATTGTGCTAGGCAACCTACATGCCCAATGATATGGGTCTAAATTAGGTAAGTAATTAGGTATGTTAATAGCCTGTAGACAGGAAAAAAAAAAATTTCATTTAAGATACTGGGATATGTTTATGAAACATGACTAAAAATAAAAGTAGCTTACCAAACAATATGCTCTAATGTTTTTGAAAGTAAAGTACAGGTGTTTATGAATATATATGGGATATTATGTACATATTACATGAGGAAAAAACTTCAAGGAGAAATATCAAATTAATAATCATTTTGAGGCACTTTTCTCCCCCTATTTTCTGTTTTCCAAATTTTCTGTGTTGAACAGGCAATACTTTAGTAATTTAAAGCAGAAAAATTTACTGATAAATGCTATGTCAGTACAAGTTAAATGTATTCTCTTTAATGATACATAAGTCACTGATTTTTAAAGTGCTTGTTTTCACTGTTCTCACCATTTCATTTCCCCTTTCCACTTTTCTTAGTTTTACGAGCAAAATCTCAGAATATTCTTTAGTAAATTACCACTTTGCAATTGATGAAAACCATCCGTCTTTCCAGTGCTAATTTATTTTGCATTATTGGGAATGTTTCCTTGGACAATATTATGGCAAATTTAATAATAAAGGAAAAAAAATGAATCAGATTTCCTGCCATCCCTATTAACCTGCTTTTGAACATGTATTAATTCCTTCCCCTTGGATGTATAATCTGTAACTGACAGATACAGTTCTGGACTTTATTGTTCATCATGCTCATCATTTTCTATCTGGACTATGTGTCTTCTTAATAGGTCTTCTCATGTTTCTGATTTGAGAGTAAAAGTCAGAGTTCCTTTGGTGGCCTGTGAGGGTACAGTCCCTTCCATCACAACTTTTCAGTTACCAGTATGCTTGCTTCGATCTCCTTCAGACCTTTATTCTAATACTCAAGTCTGAGGCCTTCAGATTCTTCTGTGAGTCTTTCTGTGAGCACCCTGTTTGAAATTGCCAACCACCTCCTGGGCTCCTTAAACCTCTTCTCTGCTTTTGTTTCTCTGGAGCACTTTTTACTAGCCACAAAGCAACTGTTTCCCTGCTTATTTCATTTATTGTCTGCCTGGCTTTCTTTTTCTCCATGGAGAAGAAAGCTCCATGCATCTAGGGATTTTTGTCCCTTGTGTACTGTTCTCTGTGTAACACTTAGAACAGTGTCTGGATGGGGCGCCTGGGTGGGTCAGTCGTTAAGCGTCTGCCTTCGGCTCAGGTCATGATCCCAGGGTCCTGGGATCGAGCCCCGCATCAGGCTCCCTTCTCAGTGGGGAGCCTGTTTCTCCCTCTCCCTCTGCCTCTCTCCCTGCTCATGCTCTCTCTCTCTCTCTGTATCTCTGTGTCTCAAATGAATAAATAAAATCTTAAAAAACAAAACAAAACAAAAAACAGTGTCTGGCACTTAGCAGGTACTAAATATTGCATAATGAGCGAACTCCAACTCTTACAACGTGCCAGAGTGAGCCTTCCAAAACTGCCCTGGAAAATCTAATTGCAGAGCGGTGCTCTGTGCCTTCATGATCTGGCTGCTATCCTCATTCTGTTGTAAGTGCTTCTGGTTTTCTTTGTGGCTGTACATGGATGCCATGTGGTAGTCTGGAAGGAGTTCCTAATTCTTAGTCTCCTGAACGGACTTCCCTTTTCCCTGTTCCTCAGGCTTCCCTCATCTGCTCCAGCAAGCTAGGGCTTCCTCCTCTGAGTGCCTTGGTACCCCGTTATAGGAATTAGGCTGCGCTGAGAAGTGTTATTTCCTTGCGTGCATTTCTCTTGCCAGACTTGGGTTTTGATAATCTCTGTGTATCCTGTGCTTAGAACTGGGCACTTGATGGTAGTTGGGTCAATTAATGACTTACAGCCGTTTTTTGTGGCGCTTGGAATACTAATTTTAAGAGGGTTGTTCCTGTATTGAGGTTTGCTTTTTATTTTGCATGGGCCTAAAATAGAGGACTATATTTTCAGATATTTCTGTAGTAAATACTTGATTGTTTTCCATGATATTTGGGATTTGAAAAAAGCCCTTTTAATTTGCAAACCTTTTTGATGTTTTTATCTTTCGTGAATATCCTGGATTATGCTTTGTATTTGTGGGCGGAAGGAAATCATTCCCTCAAAATAATACTGCTTAGTGTAGTCATGTGTAGCTGCTAATATGAAAGGGGGGATTAATGTAATTGATATTACTTTAATGAAGATCAATTTATTTTCTTTAATTTACAGGGAAGTCTTAAGAGTAGGCGACAGATCTCACCTCAGGAATTCATCCATGAACTGAAAATGGGGTGTGCAGATGAGAGACTTGTCACATGTCTGGAGTCCCTTCGCGTGTCTTTGACTAGTAATCCTGTGAGGTAATTCATCTGTCTGAACATCATTGGGGCATGTTGGTAAATTAAACAGATGTCATTAATCTGTTACTTTTATTTAATACTTCATAGCACCTGCAAATAGGTGGGATATTCATCAACGATTGTCTCAAGATAAAAAGTGAACATGTAATATTTATATGCATGATGAAATATAGTGTCAGTACTTTTTGTATTTATTACCAAGTGATACATACCCTATGGACTTAAAAATTTTTATTTTTTTCTTAAAATTTAAAAAAACTGGGGTTCCTGGGTGGCTCAGTTGGTTAAGCATCTGACTTGTGATTTCGGCTTAGGTCAAGATCTCATGGGTTGTGAGACGCAGCCCCACGTTGGGCTCTCTGCTCAGCCGGGAGTTAGCTTGAGATTTTCTCTCTCCTTCTCTTTCTGTTGCTCCGCCCACTCACGTGCACGCTCTACCCCCCATCTTAAAAATTTTTTCTTTTAAATTTATGGTGTTTTTTAAAAGAGAACAATCATGATTAGAAACGGAGTTAAAAAAAAATAGCAGGAAGGGAAGAATGAAGGGGGGAAATCGGAGGGGGAGACAAACCATGAGAGACTGTGGACTCTGAGAAACAAAATGAGGGTTTTAGAGGGGTGGGGGGTAGGAGGATGGGTTAGCCTGGTGATGGGTATTAAAGAGGGCACGTACTACATGGAGCACTGGGTGTTATGCACAATCAATCATGGAACACTACATCAAAAACTAATGATGTAATGTGTGGTGATTAACATAACAATAAAGAATGAGTTTCACTCTGAATTTTGGTATTGTATACTGGCTGAAATTTTGTTTGACATAGAAATACCATTAATTAACTTTTCCTTTATTGGAAATAATATCTTTATAGGAGCACATAGGTTAATATTGCCAGATTTAGCAAGTAAAAATAGAAGATGCCCAGTAAAATCTGGAGTTCAGACATACTAACACTAAAAATTTTTGTTGTTCATCTGAAATCCAAATTTAACTAGGTGTCCTGGATCTGGCAACACTAATACAGATGTCTCTATAAATCAGGTTTTAGACTTTTAAGCTCAGGATATTCTTGAAAAACTTCAGGCAGAAATTGTTAAAAAAAATGAGCAGTCATAAAATCAGGATTTCAGAGCTGCAAGGCTCTAAGGTAGATCAGTTTTGGCTTCTTTTGTATAATAAATGAATGCTTGTTTTTACATGAGAATATATCTGTATTACATGTATATTTACTTAGATATAAATACATATTAGGGCTAAAATGACTGTGGAAGTTAATAATATAGAATCTTTTTGATATCCTCTCTGATTAGTACTTTTCTGGACACTTCTGAAGTTTGGCTACAGTATGAAAAAATCCTTGGCAGTAACAACTATTTAAAACAAGAAGACCCTACCTGCTGAGACATGAAAGCGAGTGAGGTTTAACTGAGGAGTATGGAGAGTGAACAAAGTATATTTCAACTTTATCTTTGTTTTTCCATTTTTCCCCACTTCCAGACTGTTCTTTAGATGGAAGTGTGATGGGCAGGAGGCCAGGGACTTCGTATGTCTTATGTACTTCTCTTTACCAGGCACAGTGCACAGCACATAAAAAATCCTCAGTGAAGATCTGTTGATTGAAACATGGTTTAATTTTAGTCTCCTTCGGTTTTACCTTGGCCCTTATTAGAGACTAAGTTGAAGTGGGAATTTGAAAGGTATAATCATACGTGAAGAGCTCTGGTTTCCAGTTTAATCTGTACCTCTTTAATATATTCATTTAAAAAATAATTACTGAGTACCTGATATTTACCAAGCACTCTCTTAGATGTGGGGTTTGGGTAAATAGCAAAGCGGACCCAGGCCCTTAAGGAGTTTAAAAGTAGGAAGAGGGTGTTTGGAGTTGAATGGGAAGATGCACTCATGTCTTAGTTTATCTGGCAGCCATTGAGCAATGGATTTATTCATGGCTTTTCAATTTAATTAGAAGTAGACCCTTCCCTTTATCTTCATAATTTGATTAGATGAAAATGGTAGCAAAAGAAAAACTGTGAAAGGGTTTTATGTACGAATTCATGTATATTCCAGTGGATACAATTTTATGTGGTTTCGCCTTAAACTACTGGGAAATAATGCTTTGTCTCTTTCACTTGAACCTTATTTTAAAAAAAAATGTGGAATTATTTTTCCAAGAAAGGTCAATTCTAGAATATATTAGCAGGAACCTACAAGCTGTGGATGCTTCCTATAAAAGTCTTTTTAATCGAAAGTGATAGAAATCTTACCATTGGAGAGGTTTTTCTGAAACTGTGGCACCTGATGTAGAGAGACGAGAGGAGACTCAAGAATATCTCTGTGTGCAGTGCTTCAATTTGAGGAATGACTTTCCTGGATGTGTAAAAGTTGAAATTCTGCCTATGTTCAAATCTTTGGACTTGGCTATTAGTTTTATGTCTGCTATTGTTAAAGTCAGTTTTTCGTATACATGTATTTTTTTCATATACCTGTATTTTTTAATGTATAGTATATGACTCAGTTTCAAGAGAAAAAGAATTAGACTCTTTGTCAGCTTTTGAGACCCTTGTTAGACCTGTAGTAAATCAGTGTTAAAATTCTTCAATTTCTGCGAATAGAGGTGAGAGTGAAACATGTGAACTGATTAATGATGATTCTCCCATGCTGGTTTAGGATTGGGCTTTATTTAAATCAAAAATCAAGGAACAAGACAGAAACCTCCCTCCACTCCATCCCCTCCCGGATATGCAATACTTTTAGAGCCATTTATCCATTTCTGAAACTCTGCCTACCAATTATGAGCCACATCAACCTTTTACCATCCAGACAGCAGTGAATTATATGAAAACCGGTGCCTTAAATACCATGTTATTTGCCACCTTTTATGAAGAGTTGGTTTGAAGATCACAGAATTCTTTTGAAGTTTTATTGATTATTCAGTATTCTTGGTGAACGTTTTAAGCTAAAAGACATAGTTGCTTTACTTTTGGAACACAAGAAAAGACCAACTTCTTCAAGTTGCCACTTACAACCTTTAATGGATCTTGACATGGGCAACAATTATGTTTGAGCTATTGAACACTTTGAGGTGGAAACGTAAAAGAGTAGACACTAACATTATTATGATTGATATCTAGCATTTTAGTCCATACTCATCTATGTATATAGCAAATTAGTTACAGAATACATCTTCATTTTTCTCAATTTGATGCAGCTGTCAAAGGCACGATTTCTGTCTCAGAAAATCCAGTCTATCCGGTCCCATGTGTTGTGATCTTAGGCATTATTTTCCTTTACTTACAGTTAACATGTACATTTTGAAGTTTATAAGACCTATTTTCTTGCTAACATCTTTTTGTTAAATTTCTAAGGAGGTTTTGGAACTAGGTCTGAAAGTTAATAACTTCAAAAAAATCACTTTAGAAAAATGCAGTAAAATGTATGTTTACTGCAAAGCAAGTGAACAGCCTTTGTGGTTCGTTATTCCCTTTGATCAGTGTCCTGTTTGGAATCTAATTTTTCTCCATTTCTGGCTTAAACACAAAGCTGGTGGAAGAGTTTAATTTTGGAACTGACATATGTTGTGCCATGGACCACACGTGTAAAGAGACAAATAGAAAAGGTTGTGGCAAGCAACGAGATCAACATATTCATTGGTATCGATGTGATCTGGAGGAAAAAAGTCAAGACCAATATTTTGAAGTTATCAATACTTATTCAAATTCTTATTTTTATAAAATGTTAAATATATAAAAAAGGCTTCGTCATAGGAGTAAAACAAGTACCCACTTGCCTACTAATGAGACTAAGCTAGAAATACTGCTTGTAACTTTAAAGCTCCCACACATCCCTGCTAAATTTTATGTCTTCTTCTCCCACTGTGCTGTGGTTAGCACTGTTGTGAATTTCGGACTTATCTTTTTTTCTTTTCATTGTAATTTCACCATATAGGTCTTCTTAATTCATGTATTATTTGGTTTTATATCGTTTTGAACTTCGTGTCAGTGGTGGCATCTTCCATGCATTCTTCTGGGGCTTTTTTCCTCTCTGTTTCATAGATTTATATATGTTGATGTGTGCAACTACTCACATATCCTCACAATTCATACTATTTCATGCCTTTTTATTTCCTTATGTTTTACGCATAGCTATTGTAAGTAGCATGCAAATGCTTTTTAAAACAATTCTGATAAGCTTTGCCTTCATAGCCACTGTAAAATAGTTTATGCTTTTTTTTTTTTTACCATGTTCATCTCCCTTTCCATACCCTCTTCTGCTCTTTGTTCCTTTTCTGTATTCTTTTCTTACTTAAATTCTTTTGGATAGTTTTTTTAATCTTTCATGTCACTTTTTTCCTAACCTGGAAGACCTATTCCCTTTCTGATCTTAGAAAAGAAAGTTAACTTGTACACACTCAAAAAGGAAATTTAATATGCATGTACATAAAAGGGACAAAAATAAGCAATATCCCTTATTTTGAGCCTAAGAATAACACAATCACCCTCAGTTAATTTGCATGTTAGTTTTGTGTGGTAGATTAGCTATTACTGTTGAGTTAAACTACAAATAAGTGTATATGTATATATGTTTGCCCATGCAGATAATCATTTCTTTTTAGGTCCTTTTCACTTGTCTGATGATTTTACTCTTGCTTCAAGTATATCATTAGGTTCCCTTGACAAAAGTCTTTTGAGGGTAAAACTCTTGTCAGAAAGTGACTTTATTTGCCTCTACTTTTTTTAAAATTATATATATTTTTAAATTCAATTGACATATAGCGTATCGTTAGTTTCAGAGGTATAATTCAGTGATTCATCAGTTGCATATAACACTCAGTGCTCATTACATCATGTGCCTTACTTAATGCCCATCACCCAGTTACCCCATCCCCCCACATCCCTCCCCTCCAGCAACCCTCCATTTGTTTCCTATAGTTAAGAGTCTCTTATGGTTTGCCTCCCTCTCTGGTTTCATCTTGTTTTATTTATTTTTCTCTCTCTTCCCC